AATTCATCACTCAAGAAATCGGTGGGATCAAAGGTGATTGTCACACACGAAGACTCGAAGTTGGTTGGTGAAGCATAAAGATTCAAGAATTGATAATCGAGTAAATATTTCAGAGATTATGGCATTAAGTGGTAAATAAGTCAAGATTCAAATATGAGATTTATTTTTTCTCAGCATTATTGTGGATTAGTGATTGTATGAACTCGTGTAATATTTGTCAAAACATATTGGAATATCTACTTTGAATGGAAAACAATTGGAAACTGGAGTAGGCTCTTGCAAGGATGATAAACCTGAATTGTTATATATCTTGGTGTACTCTCTCTCTCTCTCTCATTTAATTTTCATAAGTTATTGCATGTTTAGGTAATCGTTTCTTAGTTTATTTTATCGTTAATTTCTGTTGGTAGAGATTTATTACATAAGTTCAGGTTTTGTTAGAATTAGAATCTATTTATGGTTTAGTGTTCATTAAAATATGTGGATTAGTGGTGCTAGAATCCCTTAGAAAATTGCTAGTTTGTAAAGAACACATCTTGTGTAATTTAGGGGTAGTCAATTCATTATAGTTTGTAACTCTTTGGACATAATATCACATCAATCCAAGAAATTTGTGAATTGTGTATTTGCATTCGTGATTGATTTCCAATTAAAGCATAAGGTCTCTATTTTTTTGCTTTAAGACTCCTGCATTTGAACAACTATGATACTTCATTTTTCAAAATCGATCAATTTTAAAAACTTTATATTCACTCCCTCTAGACATTTCCTCTACTTCATATTCCTACCCAATATTGTTCATCATATTTATCTGTGAAACAGGGTCCGCTAAGGTGTGACCAAGATGTTCTTCTCAAGAAATGACATGTTTCTTTGAATCACTTTAGAATACAGTCATACACACAATTATGAGATTATAGCCCTGATATCCTTCACATTCATCTAGGTTAACATGTATATATACATTCCTTAAATATAGGTCAGAGACCAATTATTAAGCATTTTCCCCTTGCAAACCTTGCACCCGAAGGACTCTGGAATGATAGGTTTTGCCGTCAAACACTTCGACCCTTTGTAGGTCTCGTGTTTAAGAAACTATGGACTATCATGTCTTTTTCCTTACTAGTCTCATGCTTGAGGCACTATGAACCATTATAGTAATTCTTTTAATTAGTTTTCCCTTATAGGTCTCATGCTTGAGAGACCGTGAATGATCAAATATTTCTTATGTCAGTCAACTCTTACTAGCACCGTGCTTGATAGACTGCGAACTATCATATATTGTTTAAATCACTTCGCCCTTACATGTCTCAGAAATGTGAACTATCAAATATTACTCAAATCACTTACAATCTTCATGCTTGAGGCACTACTACAAAACGCACAAACAACAATGTCCAAGTCACCACGCTTCTTCCAAACATCGTGGTGACATATCTAAAATCAAGCGCTAATATTTTTTAAATTTTTAATTAAAATTTTTTAGGATATAATAATGGTGGATGGTCAGACCGTAGTGATACATTCGAGCTTTCATGGGTTTGAACCTCAGCGCCCACAAAAATTTTATTTCTTTAACGTTAAGGTGTGCTTTTTCTTTTTTATTTATTTTTAACAAAGAAAAAAAGATATCACAATGGTTTTTATGTCCAACCCTCGTGATATATTTTGTCTTTAAAAGCTATACCACTACGGCTTGTCTTGTAAACCGTGGGGAAAAGTGATATTTTTTTATATATAGACGTCGCCCATTTCTTATCATACGTTTCTTTCTAAAGAAAAGCCGAACATATCATCTCTCTAAAAGGTTCTCTAAAACTGCAGATAAAAACCATTCTTTCTTTTACAACAAGCAGCATAAAAGTGAATGTTCCAAATATTGATATGGATTAAAATCAAATGTTTTTGTGGTCTCACTTTTAAGCGCAACAATAACAAGAAGCAACTTATGGTGCAAACTCCAACGACGATGAAGATGGTATGTTATCATGCTCCCTTTTTCGATCTCTCTATTGATACATAGAAGTTAGGATTTATAGTTTTAGAGTTTAAGGGTTTTGCTGATATATGTGTTTGTATTGTGATGATGCTCATGGTTGAACTTTGTTGTGTTTCATTGCAGATTATGGTGTTGGATGGTTAAGAGGATGATAAAAAGCATATAGTAGGATTTGATGGTAGGAAAGGGATGGTTGATGGAAGTCCGATGAAGAACATATGGTTTGTGTTGCAATAGAAAAAAAAATACAAGAAGTATTAAGTTGTTGTGGAAACTTCATTTATCTTATATTTCTTCTTCATTACATCACAAACTAGATGAACTTCATAATTTGTTACAGTTTCATGATTATTTTCAATAAAAGGTGTGTTCTTGAAAAAATTTAATATAACTTGTGATGTTGTATGCTTTTGTGTTTTTATTTTGTTGCATGTATTTGTTTTGTTGTTGTATGTTGTTGTTGATAAATGTTCTCAAAACAAGAACATAACATTGCTAAGTCACAAGAAAGAAGCTTCTTGTGACTTTGCAAAGTTTTGTACTTTAAATTCTTATACAGGTTGACAGTAGATGAAGTTTAATTTATAATGGTTAGTTATTAAGTTCTCCAAATCTATGTAAATTAATTTGATATTTTTGTTGATAAATATTGTTAGTGAGTTTGTTATATCATATGTGATTGCTTGTTTAACTAACCCCTCATTAAACTTGCATTCATTTAAATAGATTTTTGAGATAATAATTAAAAAAATTAAATTATTCTTGAAAATCAACTTAGATGATCCAATATTTTTTTGAATTGCATGCATCTTGTAAATCATAATTCCCTCTTTAGCGTATAAAATTTCATTCAATGCCATAAATTCTTCAAAAAAATGTTGATAAATGGGTGTCAGTCTGGATCTTTCACACAAATCTTGATGTTTAAAAAATTAAGTAGAAAAGAAGAGGAAATCAAATTTTATGTGAAAGACTCAGACTGATATCCATTTATCAATATTACTTGAAGAATTTGGGATTAAATCAAATCCTATAGACTAAAGAGGAAATCATGATTTACAGGATGTCTGCAATTCGAAAAATATTGGATCTTTTAAGTTGTTTTTCAAGAATAACTTAATTTTTCTAATTATTATCTCAGAAGTCTATTTGAATGGTTGTATATGGTTAATGAGGGACGGGAAAAAACAAGCAATCCTATATTTTATAATAAACTCTTACATATATCACAACGGTTAGAACTTATAACCGTGGTGAAATGCTAGTTTTTATGCGCTTTAATTTTGGTTGTAGTTGGGTATCAAACTCATGCCACTATATTTATGACAACAGTTGTTCACATCAACCGTTGTGATAGATAGTTTATTACGATGGTTACCGAACTGTGATTGTAAGTGACGCATATACAACCACACGCTACATAACAATGTCTGGTCCTACATAATTATTTATCTTTCCCAAATGTTGTTGAATGTCTTCTAAAGAAATGACATGTTTCTTTGAACAACTTTAGAATAGAGTCATACACACCATTATGAGATTATAACCTTGATATCCTTCACATTCAACTGGTTAACGAGTATATATACATACCTTAAAGATAGGCCATGGACAAATTATTAAGCATTTCTCCCCTTGCAAACCTTGCACGTGAAGGACTACGGAATGATAGGTTTTACCGTCAATCACTTTGACCTTTTGCAGGTTTCGTGCTTAAGAAACTATGGACTATCATGTCTTTGTCTTTAGTGGTCTCATGCTTGAGGCACTATGAACCGTTATACTACTTCCTTTAATCACTTTTCCCTTATAGGTCTCGTGCTTGAGAGACCGTGAATGATCAAATATTTCTTATGTCAATAACTCTTACTAGCATCATGCTTGAGAGACTATGAACTGTCAAATATTGCTTAAATTATTTCGTCCTTGCATGTCTCAGAAATGTGAACTATCAAATATTACTCAAATCACTTATAGACTTCGTGCTTGAAGGATTGTGTACCAATATTTGTAATATCTCAAGCTCGTCTTAAGTTAACAGAACCAATCGCTCACTCTAGAACATGTTGAACCCTCAAAGAGTTCTCAAACCACTCGAGGTGGGATAAATACGACCTAGGGCCACATTGACTAGCTTGCCATAGTATGTTGAGAGGGAAAGACCACCAAACTTTAAAAACGACTCAACTCTATAAACACTGACCTTAATCAGCCATGAGTCAGGTAACGATTTGTCTAATATTATGCGACTGAATCCTAGATGTACTAAACAAACATGTTATATGATGTAACACGGAAACCTAATTGTCATAACCGCCATAGCCAATAAAGACATATAATAAATGTCGTGCGGTCAACTTAGTAAGAACAACTATATATAAACTAGTCAGCGAATAGAATGACTCGTTACTTATTCCATATATTCTCATTAATTGAACATTCACTTTTTCCCCAACTAGCCGGATACTAATAATGAAAATCAAAGTTGTGATGTGAATTATCTAGCACATACCTTTCGATTAATCCCTCCGACTATAATTATAAGTCAAAATAACTAATTTCACATATATTAAGAAAGTTAGTTAGGTATAATTAAGTTTTTTGATTTCATGAATCAAAGTAAAATTTACTATAATATCCTTAGTTATATTTGATGAGTCCACTACCAACATTAAATGTTTTTGACTAAAATAAAATTATAATAGTAATACAAGCATTAATTAGTCTAAAAATTAATAACTTTTACTTATAATAATGATCAAAATTTAAATTCATTTTTTTTTTTATAACAGAGTGAAAGGAGGGAGTATTTTCGTTGTCCTAATCAACAAATACATACAAAAGAAGCTTCTGGTTTTATGTCCTATCCTATATCAAAAACCATAAAAGTAACAGCTTCTAAAATGTGCATAAACATATATGCAAGCGTGTATATATGCTAAACAAAAAAACTACTCAAAATCAAAGAAGAAGGAAAAAAAAAAAACTAATACAATGAAAATTAAAAATGGCTATTTACAACAGGTACTCCCTGTGGAGGCGGGTACACATAGCCGTTCTGTGGCGGATAAAAATAATTAACCGGAGTTTGTTGATACTCACCGTACAACGGTGAAGGCGACGGATACGTATATTCGGTCGGATATTGCGGCTGAGTCGGAGGAGGAGGATACACAATAGGATAAGGTGCAGAAGCTGACCCCACCGCCGGAGAAGGATAACCCGTAACCATAACAGGTTCCACCTTATGATTGTGGTTCACCGGCTCAGTGAATTTGTAAGAAAAACTAAAGGAACCTTTTGGTTTTCCAGACGGTTTTCTAACTTGGTAACTAACATGTTGGAAGGTTTTCCCGTCACCAGTCTGTTTGAGAAGCTCACCGAGAGGAACTTGGACGCTACCCACGTCTTTATCGATGGCGAGGCTGCCGGGACAACGAAGGTTGATTTCGAGAGTCAAACGATTCTGGCGAGCGAGAGATTCATTGAATGTGAGTTTAACGGAGAAATTCCAAGCAGGATTAGCGCCTCCTTCTCTGTCAAGAGGTGTTTTAGTCTTTTGGTTATTGACCGGGTCGCCGGAGATTGAAACGACGGCGTAAACTTGCATTTTGGAGAAGAGGTTAACGTTGTTGAGATCTTTTGCTGATGAGAGATTGAGTTGTAAAGTTTTGTAGTCCATTGTATTGATATGTTTTAATTTGTGCAGTAAAGTAATTGTTATAATTTATAAGCATAGCGTGATTTTGTTGAAGTCAATGATGTGAGTTTATATAGAAATAATCCACGCAGGAAGTTTCTCGCCTTACATGTTCACGCGTTTTTGTTTTTTCTTCACGTCATGTCTTCTAAAATTAGTTAAAGTAGATTTGAATACAGAAGTGTTGTACTTTTTTAGTTGACAAATAAGAAAAAAAAGTAAAACTAAATGGCATCTTATGATTTTTTACCATGGCCCTATGAATTTACTTGTAGTGCTATGGTAGCTCACATGCTAATAATCCATCATTTTCACCATATAAATAATTGTTTTTTATTGAGGAAAGTCTTTTGTATGACTTAGTCCAATTTAAATTAGAGATTGGGTGTGATCGAATTAATATAAACGAGTTTTGTTTGAAAACTACTTCTATCTAGAATTTATTAGGATTTGATAGAGAAAGCTGGGCTAGGATATGACTATGAGTTCCAATACAGTTTATGTCAATGTATTTAGTAAAATTATTTTCTTCTAGACTTCTAAGTAAGTTATTTGAATTTCCAAAAATATATTTTAAATTCTAAGAATATAACGTGTGTTTTTAAAGGTGAATTTGCAAATTTTACCACACAAATATTCAACATTAACATATCCCCAAACAAAATTATGGAAGATACAAATTAATTTTGTTACGAGATATAAGTTATGTTTGATAAAAATAATGATTGAGTGATAAGTGAGTTGATATCTTATAGTTTATAATTAATGGTTGAACTAATATCTTATATCTGATGGTCGATAATGATTAACGACTTATAACTAATAAGTTAATTTAAGTGTTTGATAAAATAACGATTTAATTAGTTGATGAATTAAAATGAAAAAAAAAACATTTAATATATAATTGTTTTATTTTAAATTAAAATAAATTATAAAAGATAGTAGTGGATTTTAAATAAAATAATAAGGTTAAAAATGGAAGAAAAATGATAAATTATAAGTTATAAGTTAAAATACGATTTAAAATAGCGTCTAGAAAATAAATTATAAGCTAGTCATATAAGCTATTATTGTGAATTGTGACAAAATTCAATATCAATTTGTGAGACAAAGAATAGTAGCAACCAAAATAAATGATCTACCGCAATAATAATCCATACGCAGATAATATAACAAAATAAGTGTAATGAGTCAAGCCCAACTTATATAAGCAAGGTGATTTTCAAGATGAATGGAATGTAATGAGTCAAACCCAATTTATATAAATCCATTAAGATTAATAGTAGTGATTCACTACCCTTTAGAAGGTTCTAGATAGTTGATTTTAATGTTATAAATAGGTGTTTGGAAAATGTAATTATCATCAATCAAATGAATGGAAAATTTAATTTTAGAATAGTTTAGTTTTTAGTATAATTTCTCTCTAGTCTCAAAAACATGTTCATAACAAATGTTGCTCTCATTGACTTGAATTCTCCTCCACACAATTACTATCATCACTATCATTATGATCCTACAACATCCATCCTCTACCAAATTTTCATTCTTCATACAACTATGACCAACCATCACCATCCAATACTTTCACCACAGCTAACCCACCTTTTTCCACACACATCAACAATCATCACCAAACTCAATATTCTTCCTCACAACCAGTTGAAACATTTTACACATTCAAGGTTATTCAAGAATCTATAACTAATTATTTTGAAACTTAAAACAAATTGATGTAAAATTTAAAAGAGCAGATCCAAGCATTCAATTTTTCTCTCAAAACATCATATCCTGAAGCTGTTGAGAAAGACCACGAAGAATTGTCAGATCTAAACTTACATTATGCAGAAAAATAGATCCAAGATGCGAGAGAAATGATTAACAAGAGACCGGTTATGAAGGAGAGAAAAAAGAACTCAATGGTTACAACTGATACATCGTCGCCGCCATTGTCACCAGAACCGCCAGACTCAGGTTTACCGGCTAAAGCAGTTCTCGAGCCAAAACCAACAGATCTGTACCAAACACAAACAAAACATCAAGCAGAAAAGAAGAAAAATGATTTTTCTGACTCCGACATCTTCTTTGGCAGTGCTTCCTTCTCCGACAATCTACATGGCATCTTCTCCGGCAGTGTTTCTGACTCCGCTGGCATTTCCAGCGTCACTTTTGACGTCACTTTCAGGTATGACTTTGGTGTTGGATACATCGCTAAATATGATACTGAAAACACCATTAAAACCTCCAAACAGGGTCTATTATCACCCACAACCAGTGAAACGCTCTTCTGTTGTTACTACGCGACCAATCTCTCCGCCATGTTGGTTCTGTTAAATTGTAATTCATATGTGTCAAAGAAGATTTGATTTGTTTTAGATTTAAATAGATTTGATTTAAGTCTAGAATAGATTTGATTAGATTTGATTTAGTAACAAAAAGATATTTTGGGCTTTGGGCTTAGGGTGTAAGCTCAATTATAAATAGAGGGAGTAACCCCTATTTTTCAAAGCAAGTCAAGCAAGACAATTCATTGTAATTACAGAATTTGCAGTTGCAAGTGATTAAGAAAGTTTTCCACAGTTTGTGGGCAGAGAGAAACTTTGCAGAAATATTTATCTTGTCTTCCTTTATTTGTTTTTCTCATAACTAATCATCATTATTGGTCGAAATTCATCATAGTATTAGGTGGATTTCCAACATCTGGTATCAAGAGCTTTTGTTTCGATTCAAGGGAAGTGTCAATCAAGAACAATTGAAGAATTCACGATGACAAGTTATGGGAATGCAAACTATCCAGCAACGCTGCCAATTCTGAAAGTTGACAACTATGAGAATTGGTGCAAACAGATGAAAGTCCTATTAAAGTGTCAAGGTCTTTGGGACCTTGTAAAAGATGGAGTCGAAGCGCTTGGCGAAAACGCTTCAGAAGAAGAAAAGAAGAAATACACAGAATCTGAGAAGCTGAGTTATAAAGCATTATTTATAATTCATCAATGTGTCAACCCAGACAATTTCGAAAAGATTAGTGATTTAGAATCTGCAAAAGAAGCTTGGGAGATCCTTGAGAAGTCTTTTGGAGGCGCTGAGAAGGTGAAAGAAGTGAGGTTATAAACTCACAAAAGGACCTATGAACTGCTTCAGATGGAAGACAGTGAAAACATATCTGATTTCTTCACTAGAGTTACAAAACTAGTAAATCAAATCAAGATATGTGGAGAAGCGTTAACAACAAGAGTTGTTGTGTCGAAGATCTTGAGATCTTTAGCTCCTAAGTTCGACCACATAGTGGTGGCGATAGAAGAAGGAAAAGACTTGTCGAAATTGACAAAGGAAGAGCTTCAAGGGACGCTCGAATCTCATAAATAAAGAATGAACGAAAGAGCTGCAGGAAAATCGAAGAGTGATGTGGCCTTGCAGGCACATGCAGCAAAAGAGACCAAAGGCAAAGGAAAGTGTTTCAACAGAGGTAGAGGTGGCTACAACAAATCGAATGGTAGAAGAAACCAAATCGAAGGAGACGTGTCGAATCAAAGAAGACCATACCAAGGCAACCAAAGAGGTGGTGTTGCAAATAGAGGAAGAGGTGGTAGTCAAAAACCTGATAAGAGTCACATTCAATGTTACAATTTTTAGAAGTATGGTCACTATTCGAGTGATTGTCCAGAAAAACGAAAGAATAAAGAAAGTGATGCAAAGCTTGCAAAACATGAAGAAGAAGAAGAAGAAGAGATGATGCTGATGGTCACAACAAAAGATGAAGATAGATTCAATGACCAATGGTACTTGGATTCAGGATGTTCATCACATATGTCTGGGAGGAAAGACTGGTTCGTCAATATAAAACCCTCAACGAAAAATATGGTAAAATTTGCAAATGACAATACCCTAGCAGCTGAAGGTATTGGTGATGTTATGATCATGAGGAAAGATGGCAAGAAGTCAGTAATTTCAAATGTATTGTACATACCAGGCAAGAAGAGCAATTTTCTCAGTATAGGGCAGTTGGTCGAAAAGAATTATAAAGTGTCAATCGAAGATAAGTTGATGAGAGTCATTGATGAAAATGGGAGATTAATTTTGAAGGCTCATATGTCTCAGAATCGAACCTTCAAGATTGAACTAAATGTGATGGAGCACAGGTGCCTTTCGACTGCAACTAGCAGAGATGAATGGATATGGCATTATAGACTAGGTCATCTCAACTTCAGAGACATCAGAGATTTGAAGAGAAGAAATATGGTTTCAGGATTTCCTGAAATTGATATTCCAAACGAAGTATGTGAAGAATGTGTGCAGGAGAAGCAACACAAGAATAACTTCAGCAAGGATGCAGGAAGCAGATTGAAGGCTAGTCTTGAAGTCATATACTCTGATGTATGTGGACCAATCTAGGTGGATTCGATGGGAGCTAACAAATACTTTGTTACATTCATAGATGATTTCAGTCGAAAGTTATGGACTTACCTGATCAAGAAGAAAAGTGAAGTGATCAAAGTATTTACCAGGTTTAAGTCTATGGTCGAAAGACAAAGTGGTCGAAAGCTCAAAGTTTTGAGAATTGATGGTGGAGGAGAATATGTGTCGAAAGACTTCGACAGATTATGTGAAAAGGAAGGGATTGTGCATGAGGTGGTGCCACCCTATACTCCACAACTGATAACGAGAAAACATATCATATAATTACCATGCTTTTTACCGATTTTATATTTCATTAAGTCGTCTAACCCCCGATTATTCCGAGATTATTTGTCTTTTTATAGGTATAACATTTTTCGACTCAAACCGATGGAAAAGGACAACATGAAGAAGGCTAGACAATAAAAAAAGAGAAAAAGAATAAAAAAATACAAAGTTTAGATTTTTGGAACAGTGACGGTCGTCACATCCTTGTGACGGACGTAACACCCCCCAACATGAAGAAACGCTCGTCACACACCACTGACGAGCGTAATGCACTACTTCAGCGCGTTACGACCGTCACCCAC